TTTTTCTCTTGGCCGAGGCTTTGAGCCTGTCTCTGTTGGATGAAATAGCATGCTTTTTTTTTTTTTTACTTGGCTGAGATGGAGTTGTGGTGTCGTTCTCTTATAGGAAGCTTGAGATATATCTTTGAAATGGTTCTAGCACTTTTGGCAAGCATGTTGGAGTTTCGGTTCTAGCTTTTTATCACCTGTTTTAGCTTAAAATGCATGTTGAAGAGCTTCTTCTATTTCTCACGAATATAGGGAGTTTGATTTAGCTCCTCATGTGGCATCACCCCTGTTCAAATACTTGTTGGAACCGTTTCATGCGTGGAATATTTAGATATGCAGGTTGGACGACTTGGTTTTTGCCTACAGGTGGCTGGAACTCTAATTGCTACTAAAATATGAGGTTATATCAATGCTTGGGCTTGTTTTGATCTCGTTGAGCTCAGTTTTGGCTTACTGTTTCTGTTCGAGCTCGGTTTTGGCTTCTGGTATTTGTTGAGCTCGGTTTTAGCTTACTGTTTCTTGTTGATTTTTGATTTTGGCTGATTCGAAGCCACGGATTTGGCTTTGATGCCTTCATGAGTTCGGTTTTGGCTTGGCTTGGCTTTTGCTGGGCTCGGGTTGGGTATGTTTAACCTCTGCTGGGCTTGGGTTGAGTATGTTTAGCCTTGCTGGGCTTGGTTTGGTTCTAAGGCAGGCTGTGTTGGCTCTTTACCTTGGTTGACTGCGATTTTATTTATAGATGGAAGCTGACTATAGCTTTGTTTCATGTTTGGAGTTCGGCTTTGGCTCTGTTTCTCAATGGGGCTCGGTTTTTTTGGAATTATTTCTTGCTGGAACTTGGTTCAGTTTCTAATGGGGGGGTTGTTGTCACTTTGTTTGGCTTCTGCTGAGCTCGGTTTGGCCTTGCCTGATTTCTGTTGGGCCCGGGTTGACTTGAGTATTGTAGATGAATCAAGTTTGCCATCCAAAATGAAAATCATACTTGTTTCAGTGATCCTTTCATTCAATTAGGGAGGTGTGGCTGCCTTTTGATGGTCCTTTTGATTGGCTTTGATTTTGATTGGCTTTGGCCGTGAGCCCCTTGTGCTTTGGGTGGCTTCTGGTTATAGGCTTTGGTAGTTGATCTTTCCTAAACCATGAGCTCTCTCAATCCTTTTGGGCCCTTTTATTATCCTAACTATATGTTTCATTTGCTTATGCCTTAGTTGCTGTGGCTGTGGGCTTTGCTTGTGCCTTAGGTTGCTGTGGCTGTGGGCCTTTGTGTGTGTCCTGAGCTGTCGTGGCTGTGGGCCTTATTTGTGCCTTAGCTGTTGTGGCTGTGGGCCTTGTGTGTGTCCTGAGCTGTCGTGGCTGTGGGCCTTA